AACACAAATATAATGGAGTATCTCTTATTTACAGAACACAAATATAATGGAGTATCTCTTATTTACAGAACACAAATATAATGGAGTATCTCTTACTTACAGAACACACAACAAAAACTAAACCTTAGGAATGCCACAACAACAAAAAAAAACTGTTATTATAACAGAACACTGGAATGAAGTGATTCAGGAACTTATGGTTGCTTAATTACTAACCAAAGTTTTTGTTTTTCAGGAATCTAAATATTAAATTATATACAAAAAATAGAATAAAAGATAAAACAATAGATCCTTCAAGTTTCTTTAAAGAATAATGTCTTAAACAATTTAAACCAATTATACTTGATAGAAATTCAAGGATTACCACATAATCATAATTTCATTACTTATTTACTTATGGTAAAACAAAACAAATTCCAAAAAATATATAGTTAGTAAAGAATGAAGCTGTTCACCCAATTTAATAACCAAGGATACTAATCTATCTTAAAGTTCCAGTCTGAAACCTGTACTATGCAGTTAATTAAAACATTACATGTCTGCTTTATGCCCTCCTTATCAAAATCTTTGTTTCATACTTTCCAGTAAGCAAGTATGAATACATTATCCTTATGTAAATGACATTCTCTTTTAGTTAATGTGCAAAGCCATGATTACAGCCTAAAGGAAATAAGAAAATCATGCTTGTACCTTATTCAAGCTCTAAGGATTAATCCTTCACCAAGTTTTTTAAATTTGAAAATACTAACATTCAACTCTCAAGGCTGATGAACTGTCATTATAAGGCCAATTACATTTTATTTAAAAAATAAATCTTAGATGCATTGTTAAATGCACCTAATGTTAAAATGTGCTGCTCCATTTCAGTTAAATGACATAATAGTGTACCCATTCAAGTAAGCTAGAAGAGGCAATACTGAATAAAATAATTAAGGATTTAAATAAAAAATTTAAGCATGTTTCTTTCAGTAACATCTACTTCATAATGTCTTTAATTATCTTGTAAGAATAACTTTGTAATTTACTTTTAGGTTAAGAGAAAGTACTTGTAAATATGCTACAGAATTTGTCCAGTTTAAGAACCACAAAATAAAAGTTTATATATTCTGGTAAAATATATTTGATAATACTGTTGATAACAATTGTAAAAGCCTATTGTATATCTTTGTTGCATATGGAGATAAGGAATAATGATATTATGGTTACAAATTGCAAAAAAGCACATTCTGAAGGGATACAACAAGAATTATCTGTTGTGAATTGGGCAGCCGAGTTATTTGGAGACACTGATCAGATGTGGAAATTTTTTAAAGATAAATTTCAAATATTCAAGGTAAACACATTCCTTATAAAAAGAAAAGGGTAGCTACAAGTAAAAATCCAGATTGGCTCACAAAGAGTTTAAGAGATAAAATTACAGAAAAGTATCATAAATTTAAGATATAACAAGAGATTTAGATTATATAAGATCAAGAAATTTATCAATCAGGAAATTAGGACATCAACAAGGATGTATAAAAAGGTTGGCTAGAAATGTAAAAATGAAGAGTAAGGATTTCTTTAAGTACATTAAGGGCAAACAAAATGTTAGGATGGAGATAGGGATGATAAAGAAAAGCTAGTATCTCATGATTATGAGATGACTTAGTTATTAAATTCTGGTTTTTACTACTGAAGATTTAAGCAGTATTCCACATCTTGAACAATTGATAGATGGAAGTAAGATCAAACAAAATGACTGCACTAATTCTAAACTTAAGACAAAATTGGGAAGTTTAAAGAACTATTAGGCTCCTGGGTCATATAATATTTCCCCAAGAATTTTGAAGGAGGTTAAGGATTGGATATGTGAGCCACATGCTGCTATTTGTTTTTGTCAGTCCTTGAATAGTGGGCATGTACCAGAGGATTGGAAGTTAGCTAATGTAACTCCTCTTTTAACAGGAGGTGATAAAAATTGTCCCAGTAATTACACTCATTAGTCTTACATCAGTTGTGGTAAAAAGTTTGGAAAGTCTGATAAAAGATGCTTGCAAAGCCATTTAACAAAGTTTGGAATTTTAATGGATAGTCAACATGGTTTCACTAATCTTGCCTTACAAATTTTTTAACATTCTTTGAAAAGGTTACTGCTTATGTAGAAGAGGGTAAGGGTTTAGATTTGGTGTATCAGGATTTTCAGACAAGGTGCCACATAAAAGGCTTGTAAAAAAATTATCTCTATAGGTGTGGGGGATAAGTTAGCAAGTTGGATAGAAGAGTGGCTGGATGGAAGAAAGCAGAGGGTCGTTACAAATGAAGTTCAGTCCCAGGATATTTTTTATTTACTATGACAAAATAAATCATATAGACATTTAACAGACTTCAAATATTTTTGGATCTCCTCAAAAATGACACACATCAAGCAAGATATACAAACTTTATCGATACAAATACTTGGTAAAAAAAAAAGTATTTTAGGATAACTTCTGAACTGTTATGGCCTCCCAGTTAGTGATAGATCTTTTGCCAGGATCAAAGAAGGGTATCATCATTATTAACCAGACTATGTTTCCTGTTAAAAATGTGTGTGTGTTTGGTTTTATAAAGGGCCTTTCCAGCTTTCCAAAGCAATACAAATATTGATCTTAGCTACGAAGTCTTCAGGTTAGTATGAAACTCCACTAAGTATTCTGCACCTTACTTTGCAACTATTATTATACAGATGTGTGTGTTACTTAGTTAGAAAAAATTCATTGGCATTTTGTCTAATAATAAATTTTTGTGAGTGTTAAGATGGATTTTCAAAAAAAGTATTTCAGCCACAAAGCTTCTCATTTAAAATTTAAAGACTCACAGCAGTGGTACCAAATATAAAGAACAATTAAACAATATATATTACAGAAAATTTAAATAAATAAAATTGATCCATAGAAGACATTACAGTGGTAAATTAAATATCTGTTAAAATGAAAAATCATTATGGAGGTTTACATCTTTCACATTATTTATTTTCACTGATGCCCCCTTGTGGCACAGCAGTCTGTCTGCGGATTTATACTGCTAGAAACTGGGTTTCCATAACCGTGGTGGGCAGAGCACAGATAGCCCTTTGTGCTTTATAACAAACAACTTTTCACCGATTCTAATTTCCATGACTAATAATAAATGAAGCATGTAACAATGAACAAGTAGACTTAAGACTTTATTTTTCAAATGTTTAGATCAAAATTATCGAGAAAATTAACTGAGAAAAACAAAAATTCAATCTAAGTTTGCGTTAACGTTTACAGTGTACAGAAAAGTTAAGAACTGAATACAGATATTGTATACACTGCACAAAATGTAAAATGTGTATAGAATAAGAACACAATTATCTATTGTATTCGCAAGTGCAGTCAAATAACAAAAGCTAACAACTAAAAAGATGCTGTAAGTGTACCTAACAAAGCCTAAGATAACTGAAAGGGTTGTTCATTTTCTTAACAATACTACCCTTTTTTTCATGATAAAATTTT